AGTTGCGAGAGAACGAGTTTCTATCGTTGCTGATGCTTTGCTCTGGTTGTTCGTGGTAAAGGTCAACCAGCGGGCGAAAGGAGCACTAGCGTGTGTCAGTCGTTTATTGCCCCTTCGATTTCGTCCAAGACATTCGAGACAATTCTTGGAGCATCGACAACATCTGAGAGTACGCCGTCACATTCTGACAGCGTTTCGAAGGCAGAGTTGACTCGCCAGTCTAGTAAAGTTGCCACGCCAGAGGCACCCGAAAATAGTAACGAGGGGTATAGTTCTGTGGAAACAGATGTTCGTGAGACGGAGGCTGGTGGGTCCTTGGATGCCCACGCTCATGAACACGAAACTCAATCTTTGGCTCTGCCGAAGGCGTCTGCAGAAGCTGACATTACTGGAGAGGAGTTTTCGAGACACAGTAATGCAGAGAAGAAGGCAGGTGGTAACGAAGAGGCTAATCAATTTCGAACGGATGGTATTGTTCACAATGGGGAGTTGCCAAAGTCGAAGTCACTAGATGAATCTTGTGACCAACAGACGATTGCGCCAGGGCGCATTGAAGTAGAAAGGACTGATGTAGAAAGGAGTGAGGATCATGGCAATGCTATCCACGGAGTACACGCAATTGTCAATGGTGTGCTGGTATCCTCAAAGTATCTGTCAAGTTCAGACTTGGTCCCCCCTTCGTCGTCTGAAATTTCACACCCGACCAATGGAACGCATGCAGAAAGTGGTTCGTTGCGATCTAAGGATGTCATCGAAAGTCAACCTTCCCGTCTCGATACATCTTCTCAGGGGGGTGATAAAATCGAAAAGGAATTAAAAATGATGGAAGCTGCACTTCTAGGTGCAGCGAAACAGGCGCAGGTGATTCATGGCTAATCCTGGAGAATTTAAGTGACTTTAAGTGCTTTTGCTGATTTGTTATCATAGAGAGTCCTTCTCAAGTAGGAGGTGGCACATGGAGCCTGGTCCATGTTGTAGATCCCACATCATTCCAACCTGGGTAGTGTTATGGGTTCCTCATCATTCAAGGATTTGTTGGCTTGATTCTTCTACAGCGGGCAGCGGCAGCAACAGTCACTGTTCTAAATGCTTTAGGCGATTATGTTTCTTCTGATGTTTGGAATGTAACGATGCTATGACCTACCAAGTGTTCGTTTTTTTTATTTATTTTTGTTTTTTAAGATTTAATTTACTTTTTAAAATTGCAGTCAAAAGCGGACGAGATTTCTAGGCTTATGTTGGAGAATGAACAACTGAAAGCTTCGCTGGAGGAGCTCAAGGTAACTGCTAAGTTAGGATCTGCTGAGGTATGAACTAGCATTGTACGTGGGTCGGATGCCTCTCAGTTTTATGGAAAGAAAGGAGCTTTTACACAAGTTCTGTGTTAACTACTTGGATTAGTTGAGAGGTTTTCGTTTCAATTTTGCTGCTAAATAGCAGTGAGAAGCATTCCCATAACGTTATTATCGTATCATGAACGTTGGTATCCTGAAGGAAGAGTGCTATGATTATTCGTAAACATCCTCTTTATTGCGTCACGTCTGATTGCATGAAGTCTATTCTTGCCTTCATGTCTGCTGCTATTGCTTGGCATCCTTGACTTAGAGGTGAACAGTGCACTAGTT